GGACAATATGATTTTGCAATTTTATTCGGGATTTTGACTCCCGGTACCTCAATTTGGTTTCATACCATCATCAATTAACTGACTAATTGGTTTCTGGGCAAAAACTTTATCCAATCTGTCAAATTTGTGTTCAGAAAATTTCATATTTGAAAATGGGACAGACTTTTGAAAATACAGTTTTTCGTTTTGTTAAGCTTTCTGCTGTGCGCTTCTTCCGGCCGAAATTAAACTTTCAGTACCCCAATCGTGTCATATGCCATCTATAGTTGACTTACTAATTGGTTGCAGGTGAAACAATTAGTAAAAACTGTAAAATTTCGGTCCTGGAAATTTCATCTTCAAAAACTGAAAATGGGACAGAGATTGGGACAGTATGATTTTGCAATTTTATTCGGGATTTTGACTCCCGGTACCTCAATTTCGTTTCATACCATCATCAATTAACTGACTAATTGGTTTCTGGGCAAAAACTTTATCCAATCTGTCAAATTTGTGTTCAGAAAATTTCATATTTGAAAATGGGACAGACTTTTGAAAATACAACTTTTCGTTTTGTTTTAAAGCTTTCTGCTGTGCGCTTCTTCCGGCCGAAATTAAACTTTCAGTACCCCAATCGTGTCATATGCCATCTATAGTTGACTTACTAATTGGTTGCAGGTGAAACAATTAGTAAAAACTGTAAAATTTCGGTCCTGGAAATTTCATCTTCAAAATCTGAAAATGGGATAGAGATTGGGACAATATGATTGTGCAATTTTATTCGGGATTTTGACTCCCAGTACCTCAATTTGGTTTCATACCATCATCAATTAACTGACTGATTGGTTTCTGGGCAAAAACTTCATCCAATCTGTCAAATTTGTGTTCAGAAAATTTCATATTTGAAAATGGGACAGACTTTTGAAAATACAACTTTTCGTTTTGTTAAGCTTTCTGCTGTGCGCTTCTTTCGGCCGAAATCAAACTTTCAGCACCCCAATCGTGTCATATGCCATCTATAGTTGACTTACTAATTGGTTGCAGGTGAAATAATCAGTAAAAACTGTAAAATTTCGGTCCTGGAAATTTCATTTTCATAAAATGAAAATGGGACAGAGATTGGGACAATATGATTTTGCAATTTTATTCGGGATTTTGACTCCCAGTACCTCAATTTGGTTTCATACCATCATCAATTAACTGACTGATTGGTTTCTGGGCAAAAACTTCATCCAATCTGTAAAATTTGTGTTCAGAAAATTTGACACTTTGAAAATCCAGTATTTAATTCTAATATGTTCTCTTCTACACGCCGTTTATGGGCCGGCTAACTGGAAACCGAAAAAAGATTGATTTAGAATCGTTTCCGGTTGTATCTTGTTGTATATTGTAGTGAGGCAGAGGAACTTTTGCTAAATTATTGGGATCTTTGTTTAGTTTTAGTAGGTTGTCGAATCTTGGGGAACAACTGAAACTCGCTAAATAATCAACAAGAAATCAATGAATAGTGTACCAACAAAGGGACTCTACAATATTCAGCTCTCAAGCTCTGGAAATCCTGAAACTCTCAAAGACTCTGAACTGCTCTCACGAACTCTGAGCTTCCCGCTCCAAAACAAGTATATTTAAACGTCACGTGTCAAGATGGGATCGGTCCTTCAAATTATCAAAATAAATTCACCCTTCCTACTGGTTATCAAAAATCTTCATTGTCTATAATAATTGTCTACTTCTAGTCTAATTAAAAATTCTATCATTCATCATTCATATCCGGGATACACAATATATCAAGAAATATTTCCGTCCATCTTTAAAATTTATCAAAGTACTTAAATCTCCGTTTTGCAAAATCGCTCAATCATTCTGTCGTGCCAGAACTAAAAATACTCAAGCCGTTAAATCACGATAAGATTTGTACAGATCTGAGCATGGAACTTTAATCTAGATTTCCGACTATCAAGCGTCACACAGTTCTCAATACTTCGTAAATCTTATGATTGATCATTAGGAAAAATTTACTTGTTATCAATAATCAACTCCTACGCATATAAAATCAAGTACGTGGGGAATCGTCAGCTTATCAGAGCTTAATCATAAAAACTATAGTTAAACCCTCTAAATCATGAACCGTACAATATTGCTGCTGTATATTACATAATACATTTACTGCATGAGTCATTACATGTTTACATTTTTAAGGTCATATGCTACATTTAACGACCTATTGAAATATTTAAGAATGGGGTTTCTAGCTTATTTGCCAAGGTATGTAAAATAAATTTAAGGTTGAATAGACGTGGCTTCCACTTCCAACAATCGAATTTTATAATTTTCGCGAAATAGAATAGTTACAATAAGTTACAAGTATAAGCCAAAATTGGATAAAAATGATTAACAACTTGCAACACACCGTTGGAATAAATAACTAACTAATTTCATATACATTGTATATTCATTATTCAAGAAGTGGTTTTTTCGCCTAGCAATAAAAACTTGATATCTATTTAGCTATTTAGTCCTTGATTATCGGCTTTTATGAAGAAAACTAAATAGAAAATTGTAATATGTATTGATTTATGACTAAGCTGTAGAGGTGAGTCTACAGACAAAGATCTAATCATTTGATTAACATTAGAAATCAATATCCAAGAATAAAAGATAAGATTTTCAAAATTCCTATAAGACAACCAACAAAATTCCTATAAGACAACAATTAAGAAAAATGGTAACATTTTCTTAAAATTCTACTCAAAGATGTGGTACTATAGGATATGTTCAGAAGAAATGTTATCACCTTATAACCATTCATGGCAGTTGATTGACTCAAGAATGTATTTAAATGTTTTTCCCAAGGCCACAGTTCAATACTTAGAGCTCTTTCCCGTCTTCTCTAAACCACTGTTTCGTTTCTCTGTAAGTTGCTCCGTTCTGCTGTTCTTTTCCCCTGTTCATATTCGTCAGCTCCTGAATATTTGCAAGGATTAAAATCTAGTCTTTTATACATATCTTGTCTTCGTAATCTAAATCTGACCGGTTTTATATACGACCCAACCTTCGGAGGAACTGTTGGATTTTACGCATGGAATCTCCCAAGTTCAATGCTCAATGTTTTGTGATTGTTCGAACGAAATTTATGTTTTAGGATTTAAATAATGAATGAAGATTACATATCAATTTCACCTGTAATATGTTCCATGTTCCGGTGGGTTTGTTCACTTTGTAAGGAAAATTGTAGAACGGAGATAATTCTTGTGAACAAGAACCTCCGAAAGCTTTTAATCGTCAGGGTGTAGATGTACAGATTGCACATAATGTTTATCATAAGAAGGAACTTAGCCACTCGGAAAAAACGAAAACAAAATAAGCTTGAGAGGTCTTCTTGGACAAAACGAAAACTTACACCTAAACTATAAACAAGAGTTGGCATGGTAGAAAAACAGTTGACAACAGCAGTAAGAACCACGCTAGAGTTCCTTGCCATGGAACACTTCCACTGACTCGTCGTGCAGATCTCCTCGCAACAAGTAGATACTTCAGAGTAGGGATAGTGGAACTGATGATGACAACGATGGGGAGAAGGAGAGCAATGATGCAGACAATTAGGAAGAGAATTGGAAAAGCAAGAGGTGGAATTAGGGCAATACAGCAAACTTGATGAGCCATCTTCTTGGTCCAGTTTGAGTATCGAAAAGGATACTTTAGAAGGAGGAACTTGCTAGTTGCTAAGACAGCAATAAGAAACATTCCCGTTGGATAAATAAAATATCCCAAATAAACTCTAGCATAGCACATAGCACTTCCCAAGACCCAGTCGTCAGCGATCAGGGACACAGCTCCAGGAAAAACACTGAATATAGTGTATGCGAGATCAGAAATTGCGATATGCTGGATCACAGTTATTATGAATTTGTTCAGTTTAAAAGCATCCTTGTGGAAAGAAGCGTATAGGATTAGAGAATCTCCAATAAGGGATGAGAGAAGCACGAAGATATGGTAGGCTGCCCAGGAGTATCTTTCTGCTTTGTTGTGCATCCCAAATATCGTGTAGTTGTTTGAAGTCATCGTTCAATTGGCTCTCTTCCAGGGCCAGGGTAAGTAATTAGCAATCGTTATTGCTTATTAAAACATTGAAATAACGTTTTAAAATAGTGACTTGGAAAATGGTACGTAGAGTCAAGGGATGATAAGATATATCATATATATGTACATAATTTACAGCAAGATTTCATTCGCTTCAATGTATAAGTTACCCAAATTACTGCTCAACAGCATATTTGGTGGTCAAACACAGAAAATCAGAAGTCTCTAGTTACTCAGTTGACTGTAATAGTGACAATCCTATGTTTTTTGTGGAAAGTGGAGGGATAATCTTACTTATAGTTATAATTCAAATCATATTGTCCCAATCTCTGTCCTATTTTCGGTTTTTGGAGATGAAATTTCCATGACCGCAATTTTACAGTTTTGACTGATTATTTCACCCGCAACCAATTCGTAAGTCAACTATAGATGGTATATGACACGATTGAGGTGCCAAAAGTTTGATTTCGGTCGAAGGAAGGCCATAGCAGAAACAAAACGAAAAGTTGTTTTTCCAAAATTCTGTCCCATTTTCGAATATGAAATTTTCTGAACACAAATTTGACAGATTGGATGAAGTTTTTGCCCAGAAACCAATAAATCAGTTAATTGATGATGATTAATTGGTTAATGGGATGGTCTCTTATCATATTTTTCCTCTGGAAAAGCTCACGGCTAACTAACTTAGCGAGATCGTTAGTAACGCTAAGCTAAGAGACGCACAAATTGACTTAACATATGTAAGTTGGTAACTTAATAAACAGATAGGATTAAGCCTTACTGGCCCACTGAACATTACTGTATCAAATTTAATCGAATTAGTAATGGAACTAAAAGTAAATCGTGGCTGAAGAAACCTGTACGTGCATTCTGCAACATATCGTGTGACATGTGACCATGTCTCGCACGATATCATATGACACTACAGGCTGATCTAATGAAAGTGCTACAATGCTATGTAGTCTTATCTCCTTTTTGTTTCTTAAAATTGGGTTATTTGCGGGTACCGGTTTTCAATTTTTCTTCTGTTGTGTATATTATTACCCTTAACTTGCTAGAATTAGCTATCAGTTTTCAGTAATGACGGATGATTTTCCAGTTCGAAGAATTTATCACGTTTTAATCTTCGAATTTCCCTATGTGATAGCGATTGTCATATAATATGATAATATAAATTCGATCATGAATTTAATTTTACTTAAGGTTCCGCGTATTAATGAAGCGCAAGGGATCGTAATGATTTTTGTTAATAATAATTATAATACATATTTTTGTTTTACTTACATTTACTACAATATAATCGTTCGATCTTCTCTCCTCAACGAATTAATCATCATTACAACTTTCTTTATCGATTTCTTGTCTAATCTGCACTCAGATTTACTAAAGTTAGTGTTGATATTTGATAATTAAACATTCTTCTTAAGATTTTGGATATGACGAAGAACTTTGATCCGAGACCAGTCCCAGACAAGAATTGGTTTCACTCCAAGAATGTTGCTTTGCTACAATGTCTGTTAACAGTTGGAACAACCCTGGCATCATATGCAATAGCATTGTATATGGGCCATGTCAAATTGTGGCCTATTCCTATGATTTCCTACTGCGGAGTTCACCCTCCTGAAAAGTTTGTCTTCTCGATCGGTCTGGTGTGTTCCGCTTTTCTAATGTTTCTCTTCATCTGGATTATTGGTGAGTACTTTTATTAATCTTTAGGAGAGGGCTGCTACACAATTCTGTGCCCTTACCTTATTTATCTACCTAAACTGTTAAAAAGCAGATCTCGTTCACAGAGATATTTTAATACGAGGTTTGTAGTCTCGCCATCATTTTACATCCGTGACAAACATTTTTAAATATTGGTTCCATATAATTGTCCCCTCTTGCTCCCCAAACAAACAAACAAGCTTATAAAAACGAATTTTGTATCAACAGTCGAACAAATCAGGCGTTTAAAATTGCACTTTTTCAGAATGTGCTGGTAAAGTGTACTCTTCAAGAAAAACAGCCTGGTTGCTCGGTTTCCCAAGCTCCCTCGGTCTGATGGTATTAGCGGTGTGTAACTGCGAGGAGGAACCTAATCTTCACTACATTGGGGCTATTACTTACTTCCTCACAACTGCCATCTACTGCTTACTTTGCAGCTTCAAGGAACTCAACGTGAGTAGCTAGTTAGGGGTATTTTTACACTGTTCGCATAACATAATGAATATTCTTTATATTTATATATTATGAACATGTTGTATAACATAAGAATTATGGAACAATCGTGACATCGGAACTGGGAACATGAATTTTATACAAACTATCACCAATCACCATCTATCAACTCATTCCATTCAAGCGAATTTATTGATGGCGACCGGTGTGAGAATACTGGAAAGATCAGCCAGAGAGAAAGATGGCCTGATCACGTGATCATAGTGGTGGGTGGGCTGTTCTGTGGCAGGGGGTCGACATTGAATAGTTAATCCAATGTTGGTTATCTGTATCAGCAGACCTGTTTACGAGGACAGCTTTGCTTTCACTTTTGTATGTGAGACAGGCCGTTGTAAACAAGTTAAGCCTAGCTTGTGATTTCGCCTGGATTTTATCTATTTGTAGCGAAGGGCGAAGTTGATGTGAATATAAACCATGTGCTTTGAGTTGGAGCGATAATATTTTAATCTCGTGTATTTGTGACGTCACAGAATGTGTCATGTGAAGCAGATTTGTGAACTTCTTATCTCTACATCAGCTTATTAGGTTACTTTCAAGCAGGTTTCGCCAGTTATCGCCAAGAGTTCTTTAGTTTGCTGAAACATGTCCATTTTTTAAACATTTGTGAAAGCCTGATAGTGATTTACAAATATCGAAAAAATAATTTACATTTTCTAGATCCAAAAGCTATGACTGATTATAAATACACGGCTTCATTGGGATGGAGTTCTTGACCATGTCAGTGAAACGCATTTTCTATTCTATCGACTGTGTCATACATTCTCAGGCTCAGTCTTACACTTGCTAACTCCCGCTATCCTAAAACAGAGAAATAAGCCATGACAAGCGACTACGGTCCTGACCCTGAACGAAACTGGTTCCAATCAAGATACGTGGCTGCAATACAATGTTTCTTAGTACTTGCCACAACCGTGGCCTCTTGGGCCATATCCCTCTACAACGGCCATGTTAAACTGTGGCCTATTCCTATGATATCCCATTGTGGGGTGGGTGTCCCGGAAAAGTACGTATTCTCTATCGGTCTGGTTGTTGCTGCTTCTGTCATGTTTCTCTTTGTGTGGATTGTAGGTAAGGAAAATAGCGTTCTCTTGTATTATTTAGATTGTTTAGAATTGTTTAGAAAATATGTGAAGGACGCACGGTAAGTCATGTACACTGCACATGTGACAGGCTGATGATTATGGAGCAATCGTTAATTTAAAGCCCCTTTTCTTTGAAACCTTGTAATTCACCAATATATAATCCGTAGAAACCTCTGGTAAGATTTACGCGTCCAAAGTTACTGCTTGGGTTCTAGGATTCCCTTGTTCGATCGGGTTAATGCTACTAGCAATCTGTAATTGTGAAGAAGAACCGACGATACATTACATTGGTGCCATCATGTATTTCGTATGCTTTGCTCTCTGGTGTATCGTCTGCAGCTTTAAGGAAATTCCTGTAAGTAAACACTTTTTTTTCCTTCAAATGCGTCCATAATGCCCCACCTTTTACACATAAAACACTGATACAAATTCCAAACTATCTCTGTCCTGACTCCTGACAAGTCCACATCTCCAGTTAGTCGGGGCCCAGGCAGATAAGTGGGTCCAGATCCGCAGGATCCTAGCTGTCATTATCGCAGTTTTCACTTTCACAATGCTCTTCCTCTTCTGGTGGTGAAAGACAAGGTAGATGCTGGCAGGATACCCGTGTGTGAGTGGGGTGCCTGCATCTGCTCCGAACTGTTCATCGGTACTTTCTACTTCGACCTGGGAGATGATTACTACATCGAGCAAGTCAAGGTGGACAAGTGGTCAAGGAAGCATACTTACAAGAGACTTAGTAATGATGAGGAGGATGATGTTTAAGTGAGTGGGAGAGAGAGGTTAGCGGTTTTATGTGTTTTTCGTTAGTACCGGTTGCCAACAAACTATTCATATTCATATTCACATTACAGTCAACATCATGTTCCGAACTTTTAGGTTTGATTCGAGAGATATAATACTTAGGCGGTAGCTGACTGCTGAGTATGTCAGAAACTTTAAAAAGCCGACACGCTAAATTACATAATCTACCGGCACCATACGTTATTTTTATCAGTGTAAGATGATCAATCACAATTAACGAACAACCATTCTACTGATATTACATAAACCACCAGACAATGTAATTAAAACTAAATCCCCTCAGCTGACCAAGGAGAAGAGAACAGCCTGGGTTACCGTCCGCCAATTCCTATCCCTCGTTAACCTGACCTTCAGCCTCGCACTAGGAGTTCTCTTTGCGTTCGGGTATCAAGGAACCGACTGGGAGGTTGCTTTCAGTGAGTGGACCGCTGTGTGGGCAGCAGAGTTTTATGTGCTCACTTTCTACTGGGATCTCGGGGATGAGTTCTTTATCGAACAAGTTAAAGAGTTTTTCGGGATGGAAGTTAGGGACAATGGTAAATATAAGTTAGTATATGATGACGAGTTCGCTTTAGACATGGATTAGTTTATCTTCATGTTTTTGTATTATTAAATGATTTAAATTTATGGTGATTGAAATTTTGAAGCATGTGAAAGTCGAAGGTCCAATAAATTTTGACTCTTGATCGTTTTGACTAAACATTTTCAAAGGTTCAGATTTTTATTTGTAAATAATGTTCGTTACTGTTTGTAAATGGATTGCTGATTTGATTAGTAAAATTTATGAAACTCTTTTCTTTGTCAATTGTCAACGAAACTTCTACAACTGTTTAAATTCACTACTATCTACTAAATAGCAAGGTTCTCATGACAAATTAATTGTCCTTATATTGAATGTTCTGGGATCTTGTTCCGCATCCTCTACTTAAATTCGTCCTACTCATCAGTCGGTCATTTCTCGAAAATAACTGCTGACAAAGTCCAGTTGCAGACAAAGTCTTGTCATATTAACTGCTTGGATAACTTTCATCTTCATCAGCTCAGCTCTGCTGTTCTTTGGGGAATTTCCCTCACTTGTTAAACTTGAGAAGATCTCTTTTCATAAGGGACTCCTTGATGGTGGGGTACTGCAGAGTGTAGATGGTGGGGTTAACTAGGACCACCATGTACGAGAGAAAGTGGGAGAGGAATCTGAAGAGACTGTTGTTCTCTTTTATCTTGTTCGGATCTGCTAGTTCACTTAGGGTCTGATACAACTGCAGGGAGAAGTGTTGGTAAGTAGGAGGACTACATATCAGGGACAGATATAAGCGTGTAAGCTATTCAACGAGGCATAATTTGTGTTTTCAAAAAGTTTAACCTACAAACCTTCCACTCAATACTATGATACTGGGTAACTAAAAGATGGTAACCATTAATGAAAAATGAGTATACTAACGTAAGGAGCGAAGACCAGCAGGAAAGTGCCCGTCAGGACGTAGATGACTACTTCAGTATGCTTATCTGATCTTGCAGCAAGACTCTCCATCGTGTGTACGGGGGACATAGCCTCATCTCGTGTACCGTTGTAGTTTATGTGCACTGGTATATCCGCTTCTGTTTAAGGTTAAGTGTCAAAACAAATTATAAATAATACTACCGCTATCATTGACACACAGATTTCAAAACAGTCAGCAGTTTTTACGAAATACAAATGGGATAGAAGTGTACATAGACAGAACGAATAATAACTTTGGGATACTACATGTGAAGTGTAAACACAGGCAATAAAATACCAACACAAAAACATAACTTTTCAAACAATTAGATGATTTACGCTTCAAAAAGATGAGTTCAAAGCTTGATCGCAGGACATCAGAGTCTGAAATCCTTCAGAGTGAAAACGGTCCGAAAAATTGCAGTATAGTAATATAAATTATGGAGTACTAGTATGGACAATTATATATTATGCATAATATTGACAAGTGAAATTAATAAATTGAGCTATACTGATACTGATGAACCGAACCGCGATCAAATAGTTAAGAAAAACTAAAAATACATAAAATTTACCGGAGTTGTTATCACTGAGAACTTCTGTAGATGTTCTTGTAGGTAAATCACATTCTTTAAACTCGTATGAGTCAGTGATATTGCAGGTTTTGCTATCCTTTCTCTGGTTAATAAGGGCTACTAGATACCCAAACAGCACGATCACCCCAATGTATGGTATTATCAACCCGAACACAGTCTGCAGTATGTTGGTTTAACAATGGACTTCATCACTAGCTCAATCATTGTTGTAAAACTGTGCACGCTCACAACAACTTTTAAACATTGTTGATATTTGATAAGTCAACCTGTAAGAAGCATGACAATTCAGTTAGCTATTATGTTTCAATTTTAACAAAGTTATTTCACAATGTTAGCAACATAGTCGATAAGACACTAGGCATATCAAACTAAACGTCCCTGACTAAGTAACTAACTCGTTTATTTTTTCAATATTTGGGGTAGAAATTGATTGAAGTACAAGTATCTTGGTAATTGGTATAGGGTTATGACTTACCTCGACAGCCCTAAAACTCTGGTAACCGTCGGATTCATCTGTAACAACAATCGTACATGCGTGGAGATTAGATCTGTCCTCCTGGATATCAGTCACACCAAAATCCTCCAGAAACACCTGGTGAGTAAAAACAGTGAGCAAACAGAAACACCTGGTGAGTAAAAATAGTGAGCAATAATCAGTGAATAGTCAGTAGCATGATGATTAGTAAGTGAGAGGTGGCTGATCACTCAGAAATGAGAGATCAGTCAACACCTGCATTAACAGTGGCACTATGCATTGTTGAAAAAGTTAATACTTGGTATTATACATAAAAACGAAATAACTCGACGTACCAAAGCAGGAGGTAGAAGGATGAGATATGGTAGAAGGAAGATGACAACAGGAGCCCACAGTGAAGAGGTTTTAAGCGTTTTTGAGGGGTTGTTGTCGGTCCGTAGGGCCATGATGTTGTAGAAAAGTAAGAGTGCTATCATATAAGTCAAACTTATCTGAAATATTGTTTGACTAAGTAACTCCTACATTCACTTTAGAAATTAAATGAAACAAGTAATCCGGATTTTATTACACAAGTAATAGAGATTTAAATTTGAAAGATGGTATTTATCTTGAAAATGTTATTCAAAATAAGATAATTTCCTTCTTAAACCAGCACATCGATGAGAAGAGTCCTGTTACAAGTACTAACCTGAGAGAATCTATAGAGGTAGGGGTACGCTGAGCACCACACATCACCAAAGTCCCACGCCTCGTTAATACCACTGATTCCGATTGGTAGAAGACAGAAAACAGACTGGAATATCCCCAACTGTGGGCATGATATGGCGTGTTAGCTGAGATACTAATTTACAGATTCTGGCATGAAAATAACAACAAGTTACTGATAACAGTGATATACGATACCACTGCCATCCACCGTCAGTAGTACGACTACAAAGCATACAAGGGATAACCGGACAAGGGTTTATTTACATATATTACATATAAGTATAACGTCAGCAATATCAAATATTTGGCAATTTTCTAAGACCCTCCGTCAACTATTTTACTCATGGTTGTTAGGTCAAAATTAAATTTCGGCTAAATTCGAAACCCTAGGATGCTGACGTAATATGTGAACCCTACAAGGTACAATAGTAATCAGACAACCAATTATCAATAAGGAAATAACACTAACACTCACCGCGCTAACAGCCATCAGTCCCCTGTTCATCATGGTCCACAAGTTACCCTGGTAGATCAGAGCACAGAGCAGCAAGTTCCCTCCTAGACCCCAAGATGCTAGCAACACAAAGAGACCTCCGAACATCTTGGTATTCTGGGACGGATCCCCAAATGATAACCGATCACTTGCATCGGCCATTTCTTACTTTAACCACTGCTAAAAGAATCTGCTATATTCTGGAGTGAAGGGCAGAATCAGAAACATGATGCATACTTCATTAAAATTGGACAGGAAAGCAGAGTGATAAGATAGACAAGCAACTACAAAACTGGTAAAATAAAGGCTAAAGACAAGTGTCTCAACAAATTAGGTATTAATTCAGGAATGTGGTCAAATAGGTACTTTGCAGCTTTAAACATAATCACATTAACTTAATTTTCACCCGAAATATTATGCAATAAACTCTCGAAGAAGTAAAGCTGTAAACGAGCAAGGCTGGCTGTTCAATACCAAAACGAAGGTTCACGAGAGTCAGTAAGTACAGTATTGTGACGACAGGGGAGTAAAACGGTCAGAAATACACAGAGAGATTACAGCAGCTGACAGAGTATACAACTGCTAGTATATATACTTATATAGTGAATTGTCGGGTGATTTGTTGTACAATGTACAGTATAATATGTTGGCAGTTGACGAGAAGTCATAGCGAGTATTACATACTATAGTCCAGATCACATACTTAGAGTACGTATCAGCATCTCAATAGTACACATTGTACATTGTACATTGTACATTGTACATTGTACATTGTACTACGTACTGAGTATAAGGTAAAGGGTACAATTACAAAGGCACATGGCCGCCGTGCTTCCAGGAAATCGATTTTGCAATTTGTTGGCCGAGTCGCATTATTCATTTAAAAAGATGTTCGATATAAACAAAATATAGGAGATGAGAAATTACCAAGACGAGACACAATGCCTTTTATTCCTAAACTGACGATTCCATGGCACGTCAAACCTCAAGGGAATTTCTGGTTTAGAAATCGATTCTGACTTTACAGCTGAATGAGTGAATTGCAGAGGAGTATGTATAGTCTAATATTTTTAGTTCCTTACAAATATTGCATATTCAAACTTATTCCTAAACAGGGACACATAATCAAACAAGAAATGGCAGTGAATGTTCGTGGAACAATAAATTGACGGCTATAACTGTCTCAAGTGCGGAGCTCTGGCGGAATGTTGAAGACGACAGCAGACTGATCTAAACGAACATAATGCCACCATGCATCGCTCCTGCACGTTCTTACAATTAGGTCTTAATCTTTAACAGTAGTAACTTTAAGGTAGTAGTAGTAGCAGTAATATAAAAAGTAAGAGTGGATGGTTTAATGCAATACTTAATGCTTGATAAGTACTCCAGTTGATTGGTAGCTAATAGTGGAAATATGACATTTGCCACCGGGAGAGATCTATCTTATCTTATCTTGCAAACACTTGTACTGAGGAGCAATTGTAGTAATTTTGTCGCAGATGTGGTCTTTTTTATTATATACAGGAAGAATGGCATTGACATTTGACAATGATTTTAAGTTTTAACTGGCGCTGATATTCAGAAAAATTGAGAAAAATTGAGCTAGAGCGAGCAGTGGACAAATCCAAAACACCAATGAATCAAAATGATATACCGATGAATCTATTTGAGCTATTTGAGCTATTTCAATAAAATTTTAAATACATTTGAAAATATTGGAAAAAGGGCGTGAGCAGAAAAGTCATCGGAGCAAGTGTTTAAAACTTTAAAAATAAATGAGCATCGAAATTATGCACTGCTTAGTGATTTAAAATAGTCGCATATTCAAAACATTTAAGGAAGATTCATGACGTAGAAGCATGCGAGAACACACTACTGTATCGTAACGTTAACATGATGACGTCAGCCATTCAGCTCGTTCTAATGTCTAATTAGATTTAACTAAATTTCTCGCATTCTTTTAATACCGAACTACTAATCCACAAAATAGCCACAAAATAGCCTCGTTTCAAGTAGACTAATCACTCTCTCATCAAATTAGTTTTTCAACAGATTATGTGAGGTTCCGTTAGTGTTAGTAAAAACCATTTCCAGGGCGACACTAGCACGATACAACTCCCACTCAGACTGACGACTTGCTCTCTCTTTCTCTCTTTCTATCTTTCTCTCTCTCTGCCAAGGTCGACGGTGGCTGGCCTCCTGCAGTAAGCCTTCTCGCCATGTCCTCAGAGGGTAACTCCTGTTAGCTACCCTCAAGGACTCCACAAGTAGATACCATATTAACATTAAAATAACAATTAATATCAACGCAACAGACCTCGGGAGTCTAGAAGGAGGACTTGCAAGACTACCGAAACAGGAAGATGGGGTACAATAGCGATTGAGGCATGGCATGAAAGAACCTGCCAACAACCATACTCATGCCACCTGATGTCAGAGGAGGTCCGAGGTTCAGGTTACAGTAATGTTTCAGTTTCTCCAGACTGTATTACTCCGCAATCAGTGGAGTAATTGATAGTGCCGCTCTATCAGTTATCAGTACTATACGCCCTGGTATGGCCAGCTTCGTTCTTCATTATGGCATGGAATTGGACGGATGGTAATATTTTGATAGAGGTGTGCGATGTATCAGTATATCTATCGTATGACGTATGTTTCAGTTATCAGTAATCTATCGTAATCTGGCCTTTGCAACATTCTAGTGGCGCCCCTATGCGGATACCCTACCACTCTAATCCTAATTAATGTGCGTCAAGAGGGCCGCCATCTGGTCAACAAACGAGACGATAAGTTGGTGATTTGTCGTGGGGTTTAAATTTTGTCTGATACGTATCTACACTCTACAGTCTGGTGTAATTATAATATTATATGGTCAAAATGTTTAATAACAAGACTATTTGATCATTAAGTGAAGTTACACTGTTTAATTTTGGTGACCTAATCGATAGAAAATGGCTTGTAAAAGAAATAATGATACATAGTAGTTAGTACGACCCATAATACAGCCAGTTAGTTTCCACCGAGGTGGTGGTTACCATCACCTCACTATCCGAACAGAAGGAACTGCAGAAAGTGGATAACAGTAAACTAGTAACACAGCTGTGAATTGTGATCAGTAGGGACACAGCTATAATATCCAGTTACAAGATCTCCACGGTTCTAGACTACACAGTACATTCTTGTAACACTTCATATCAACTCATATCAGTGCATTGGCTATAGTGAGGTTCAGGGAACGAGGATTTCCTTAGAGTATTATCGTTCTACGATTATTACCGATGGGCGCAGTACTGTTTGTTGATGAGGTGATAACAACCTAAAAGGAGCATTTCATTTCAAAATTCATCACAATTTGTTGCCATTAATACAAAGAATTAAAGCCGTTTTGAGATTCAGAGAAATATTCAACAAATATAAAATTAAAACCGATTAAGGAGCACTTGCTATGAGTTATGTTTTAACTTGTGCATATCTTATCACTTTTATATCACTTTATCAAGCTCTTTTTTACCAAATCTCATTAAAGTATATACAATTGAGGCTGATAAAGCTTAGTGGCATATTTCACGTTTCAAACACAAGCTCCATATGATATGATAAGAAGTTCCTTACTCTCGAAATCTTGTGAGGTTAAAAATAGGTTATGTTGAAATTTGCCACAGACTTATCGCCAACCAAATATGTCGTTAACTTATATATGATAATAGTTTAAACTAATGAAATAGCCAATCTATCTGGAATTGCTTGAGCTTTAGGCCATGTTTATATGACTGAAACAAGCAACTGAGCAACACATCTTAATTATCTATACAATCTACTAGACACAAATTTGAACATATTTTATCTGCAAAGTCAGCACAGCAATTTGAATATTTGATTGGGTTAAAAGAAAATATTAGGTAGATTAATGATTATTCTAAAATCAATCTCATTTTAAAGCGGATTATTACCAGGTTACGTAGGTTAGTAAAATATTATTATGGCTGCAGCTCTCTATTCAGGAAATCGTATAAAAAATAAAGTATGCAATTCAAATCTAAATGTGTAACTCTGTGTGTAATTGTGCGGTAAAAATGGATGTTGCACTATGAACGTGTCATCAAACATGCATGAAAAATTAACATTCGAATAATATGGCGATCTTTCCGCCAAAGATCTTCCTTTAAAAACAAATTTCATGCCCGCCCCGGGACACGTTGAATTAACAAACATCATCATCATTAGAATCCTAATAGTTATATAGAAAAGAAAGGTTCTCATTCAAAATAGGCTTTTTCACCCCGATTATATCACACCAACAACCAATTTAAATATTCGTCCGTTCAAGGTGTCAAATAATATTGAACCTAACAATGCGTCCGTATATTCCTTAGATAAGTTTATTTTCATGACAATAAAACAAAATATTTATGAAAAATAGAGCAGAGCCGTGGACGACGATTACTTGATACTAGGAACAATGTGAACTGTCTGTCAACTTTGTATTCGTGATATAATAAGTTATCTGCCCACCACGAGGTTCTGCCGCCGGTTAAAATCTCTACTATCTGCTTCCCGCGTCTAAGGTTTCGAAGGTGTTTCACCTGAAGTGAAAGTTAGTGAAACAGGGAATCTCTAACCATTGGAGAAACCATTGCAAGATAGTGTACACAAGATGAAGATAGTGTCAACTTGACACTCTGTAAAAAGCTGATGTATAAAAGTCCCTGAGCGAGGGGACAATGATCATTAGTCAACCTAGAACTTAATATTGTACCGTTATAACAGGTGCTAGGGAAGCCTAAGCTCTCTTCATATATTTTGGCTTTCAGAATCTCCTTTGGCTCGTCATCTACCTCCGCTTCAAGAGTGAATGGCTTATCTGCGACTGGCTGTTAAAAGGTAGCGTGTTACAAAATAATAATCTCGATCTTATTTGATAGTGTGCCGTGTGGTCAGTACTCAGTATAAATCGGGCACTTAGAAAACGGCTTACAACCATCTCATTTGATCACAGTACACATAAAAACGAGATGTGGGTGAAAATTTCACTGATCTCAACAGACAAGTTGTCAGTTGTCAGTTGTCAGTTGTTAGTTGTTAGTTGTTAGTTAGTTGTTAGTTGTTAGTTGTCAGTGAAACCAATATCATATAGAAGTATAGAAGTTGGGACACTAGATTCCAATTCCGGTTACCTCATCATGGGGGTCGTAGTATTGTCTCAGGTAAGGATGAGCTAGAGCATCCCAAACATTAATTCTGTGGTGGTGGTTGAATGTCAACATCTTGTCAAGTAGATCCAGAGCTGAAACGAGGATCATAAATACCCTGAAATCTCGATGAAATGACTTTTGGGGCTAAGGTACACTTGGAAACAGTGATAAAATAAGGGTTGGCGCCTTATCGCCTCATCAGAGCAAGTTAGGATCGTATGATTCTGGAGCCCTGGATTAAATACCCTAATCCAGTCACAACATGTTCTGAATAACAGGACAAAAACTACACAGCGTACGTGATATGAAATCGAGAAACGCGACGTTTTTCTTCTTGGCGCTGCACAACACTAAAAGCTTCGCGCGTTCCCGTTACGCAAACAAGAGAGCAGCCAATTTAGAGACATCAACAAATTTTATTCTAATCATCTACAGCTATTCTAGTTTTTTGTCGTGAAAATAACCAGATTTTCGTTAGGCTATATCAGGTAATCCTAAATATTCAAGGCAATGTGTTTCAAATGGAAGGCTATCATAACTACACACAGTAATGCTGGGGCTCGCACCCTCAATGAAGCACCTTTTTAGGTAACAAACAATGTATCACTGGCTTTAAACCAGTTTTCCACAAACTTATGTCATAGTTTGGATAAGATCTAAACAATGCGTGATAGAGCTTCTGATAACGTTCAGCTCATCCTGCACAATGATCCGAGATTATTAGATTATGTAGACCTTTCACAGGTTGGATCGTAATTCAGTGCTGTGTGGGCGGCTGAGGTCACCGGGTTGAGGTCACCAAGCCCTTTTATAGAATTTAAAGCCGATGGGCAACACCCAGAATGGTTTGGTGATGTAATATAATATCCGACAATAAATGGTACTATAAGGAATTCTCCATCCGGCATTTCGTCAGAGAGTCACTGGGACGTAAGGGCCAGGAGGCTAAATGTGGCATCAGCTGTTCTCGTTCATTCTAGCACAGTAATTTTCAACATAAAACTTCTAGATTTCAGTCTGCGTTAATAAGATTTAATGAAATATGTTCTAGAACTAGTACCTTGTAAGTCAGCGTTAGGATAAAGTCTTCTCCAGGGTACTTTGCCCTTAGGGGGAAGTGACTGCAGGTAACTCCTGGCTTTGTGATTTATGATGCACATCAAGTCGTCGGCACTGGGAGATCCCAGAATGTTAAGAATGTGATTGAGCTGGTCGAGGTAGTGCTTGCCAGGGAAGATGGCTCGATTAGAGAGCATTTCAGCTAGGATACAACCTGAAAATAGCAGTAGTTAAAGCACTATCTGGACAATATACGGGGAGGAGAACAATTATATATTTGCGGAATTTATTGTCGGAAACTTGTATTTTGTTGTTGTCTAATTTCGGGATATTGAGACTTGTGTAATGAATCAGAGGACACTTTTACTACTTTTTACGATTTACATAATATATCATCACATATCTCGACTTACAAATAATAATTATTCAGCTAATGATTGATCTGAATGGAACTTAATTTCCTCTTTCAAAGTCTACAAAATGACCCAGTTATTTATCAATTCAACTAGTATACAAGAAAGCGTGCGGAAACACACGATCCAATACCAATTTTAATTAATAACTTTCTCGATACCCCATGACTCTAGGGCACACAAATACATATTATGTACATATTATAACACTGTTAATATTATATCTCCCGGGGTCAATACCCGCATTGCACGGCCAGCAGATATTTTAAGGTTGCAGTTATTGATAATGGAACACTATGTACAGTACTCAGGATTCTGTCTTACAGCGTTAATTGAGCGCTAATTGGCTGTTAATGAGCTGATTACGTTAAATTCATTACTTTTAGCAGACAGGAAAGTAACCATGTCCGTGTTACAAGATTGTAACCAACACATTTAACACTAGGAACTACACACGTCTGAACGGGTAGTCAGTAATTACAGGGTGTATTTTAAGTAGTGACACAACAACATCCACACACTCCCTTCAACTTATAGCAAACTTGAAGAACCACAATTTCTCTTTTCGCGTGTACAACTAGCAACTTCCACTAAAAGTGCTGGATTATATAAATCCCGAGCCCGATCCACACCACGCGGTTCACACGTGGTACAAATCACGTGATCACGGAGAAGTCACGTGATCACAGGGAGATGATAAGTCAGATTATATTTTAAAGAAGTGTGGTAATTCAGTGTGATGACATATTGTTAGCTGAGCGTAATATATTCAGCTTGGAATGTGTACAACATACGTCCATACGAGCTACCGAGTGTGAGGTATGTAATGTATGTTAATACTGAGTGTGAGGTATGTAATGTATGTTAATACTGAGTGTGAGGTATGTAATGTATGTTAATACTGAGTGTGAGGTATGTAATGTATGTAATACCTCACTTCAAAGTTCAAACCAGATAGTACGTTTTACCTGAGTTGACATATTTTATCGGGTAGAGTTTATCAGGAATATTAATATTAAAATGTGTGAGAAATTCATCGCATTTGATGGTCATTCGAGTAATCAAACTGTCTTCCAAAGTTTAAAAAGTGCAACAATTTGAAGAAAAATGTCACAACTATTGCGATGAAATTTTAAGTCAACAATATAAGACTATGCAGCTGGGTTTGAAGTGTTTCAATATGTTGTACATACCGACGGACCAAATGTCGATAGCTTTAGTGTAACCTTTGGCGTTTAACATGATCTCCGGTGCCCGGTACCACCTGAAAGAAACAAGTTGTGTAACAAACTCTAAGTTGTAGTGTAAAAGTTGTAAAATAAGGAGTACTTAATACCAGCTGCACAGATAGGGGTTCTGGTTGTCATTGCGCTTCTGTCTCTAGTTACCATGGGGAAGGGGATAACTGTTAACGTTTCCTAAAATAGCCGCATTGTAAATATTGGTGTTGAAGAAAATTATACTGAATAAAACTAATATTCGGGGGCGAAAGAAACAGGGGATCATGTTCACTTCATTATCCGTTCAAGGGTGAAGGGATGCGTAGGAGGGGAGACGGGAGACAAGTTCAGCCAAAAGGAAGTGACTTCCTCTTCCTCCTGAAAGCAATTTCTCCTCTCTTTGTAGAGTGAATGTTACTTTGAACTAACCTGGTAGCGACGTATTCTGTCAGGAACCCGGTATGATCATGATGAGGATCCGCTACTCTCGCTAGTCCAAAATCACAAATCTGAAATTGGTTTTGTCAAATCCGCTACTCTCGCTAATCCAAAATCACAAATCTGAAATTGGTTTTGTCAAATCAAAAATTCATGAAATTGGTGAACTGTCAAATCACTGGTATAACAGCTATTTTTAGATAACCATTAAAACCTAGGTAATAAGATTGAGAACAGTTGCACAAGAATGACGATCATCTGTTTGTAGTCCTTTAGCAAAAACCTTAGAGCAAAAGTTTCAGCTAATGAATGTACCGTGCATAAATTAATATATCATGTGTAGTGTGTAGTGTGTACCAGCTGCAGCTGATAAGATTTAAATGTAGACAAACGATCACACATTTGTAAGAGAAAACGGAACAATTACACCGTATATATTACAACTCTTTCACCAGGGGCCTACAAATATTATTATTGTTACACAGCACTCTACAAATATCATTATTGTTACACAGCACTCTACAAATATCATTATTGTTACACAGCACTCTACAAATATCATTATTGTTACACAGCACTCTACAAATATCATTATTGTTACACAGCGCTCTACAAATATCATTATTGTTACACAGCACTCTACAAATATCATTATTGTTACACAGCGCTCTTCAAATATCATTATTGTTACACAGCACTTGAGCACTCTACAAATATTATTATTGTTACACAGCGCTCTTCAAATATCATTATTGTTACACAGCGCTCTACAAATATCATTATTGTTACACAGCACTCTACAAATATCATTATTGTTACACAGCACTCTACAAATATCATTATTGTTACACAGCACTCTACAAATATCATTATTGTTACACAGCACTCTACAAATATCATTATTGTTACACAGCACTCTACAAATATCATTATTGTTACACAGCGCTCTTCAAATATCATTATTGTTACACAGCGCTCTACAAATATCATTATTGTTACACAGCGCTCTACAAATATCATTATTGTTACACAGCGCTCTACAAATATCATTATTGTTACACAGCGCTCTACAAATATCATTATTGTTACACAGCGCTCTACAAATATCATTATTGTTACACAGCGCTCTACAAATATCATTATTGTTACACAGCGCTCTGCAAATATCATTATTGTTACACAGCGCTCTACAAATATCATTATTGTTACGCTCTATACTCGGCCCTTGTCCGTGACAGACACTTCTAGGATTTAATACCACGCAACTTTGTGTACAATTAGTGAGGTCATGTTTAATTACTGGCAATGAATTGTAGTTCACTAAAATGATAGTGTTAATGCCCCTCATTGAAAAAGGTGTGTTACTGAGAGTGGGTCTGAGGTCATCATCTCAACTCGATTCTTGTCATGGAAGTTGCTCAACTTAGGGACCAAAGTGACGTGGTATGCGTTTTTGCTATTTTTGGATGGTGAAAAACGAAAATTTGCGGGATAAATATGGTGAAGGGTGATAACACCTTGGATTTAGTTAGTAACATTTATCAATCAACCACGTGACTCATGGCTGACGAGAGGGTGTTTCGCCAAAATGGCTTTTATTAATAACATTGCAGGTGTAACACTGGACACGCTAATGTATTGATAAGTAATCGATGACGTGACTCTGCACACTGACGCAGATTCCAGACATGAGTGTATGCTGACCGGAGACCGGCATCCCACAGTGTTAACATATTATTATGTACTGTATTTAACACAGTTGAGTTTTAATGGACAGTAATTCGCTGGAATGCGAACTGCTACATTTGAATTCCCTTCAAACTGAATACACCACCTATTATTACACTGACTATTGGTATATAAGGTAAATATATGTAGAGAGTGGGAGGTATAATTAGTACGATCTGTAATGCTATTGTAGCCTACCTTTTTATAGGATAATCGCTCCCCCTTACAAGAACATGTTCTCTCGTCACTCCTCGCCGTGTGTGTGTGTGTGTGTGTGTGTGTGTGTGTGTGTGTGTGTGAGTGTGAGTGAGTGTGAGTGTGAGTGTGAGTGTGAGTGTGAGTGTGAGTGTGAGTGTGAGTGTGAGTGTGAGTGTGAGTGTGAGTGTGTATACAGTTTAAAGTTTACAATGCCTTTATATCAATATATTATATACACATTATTACTAAACATAATACACAATTTATATATTTCCGTTAAAAGTATTAAATAAATGTGCCTCTGTTCTCGCTTTGTCATTATGACACTATGACAGGAAGTTAAATATATATTCTCTCAGAACTTTCCATCTAGAACAGCAAGTGTGTAGGAGTGATAATACCTTACTCTCGTACTACACACATAATATATTTAAGTTATATAATCTTTAACACAATTTGTAATAATTTTTAACACACTAGACACATAACAGCTAGGGTATTTAAAAGATATTGGTAAACTTGAACGTTCTGAGCGTAATTTCAAATCAGATCATAATTTTGACTTTCTAATATTACTTCGATATATTATCATGACGTTAAATGTTGGATATATACTAAACGTGGCATCGTTCCAATTATGTTATAGTGCTGTGAGATAATGTACATCGAGCACTCAAATCTGACAATTTAAAACGGACCATTCACTGTTCTGTACATTTCATCATGTAGATTAATGTACCACCCATCATTACTATAATTTTACGTAAATGAAAGAAAAGTCGTAATTGTCGTTTAGATGTTACAGCAGCCGATAAGATACAAATTGTTCAAACTAAGTTTTCCATTGTTCAGACCCGTTGAAAATCAATTGTGTCTGTGAGGCTCAAAAACAGACCATAATGACTGAGTGTAAACAAGTACACAATGTAGCATTCCGATCTCTTATTACTAGTGTACCAATTGAAATAGTGACCTGAGTAGATGTGAGTAGTTGTGCTGCCAGCGAGGAATGTTCTAGAAACTTCTCATACCTCACAAATTAGAAGTACAATATCACAGTCTCACAAAGAGGCACCACCAAGCTCTCATTTAATAACATATTCACACACCACACACACACACAGACACGGGCGCGATTAGGGGATTATGATTTATAATCATCTTTGTGTTATACCATACTTGGCTCCACTCCAAATGAGATAAAGTCGAACCTATAATATCATTGCTTTAGTTACACAAATAATCAGGACCTGCGCTACTACTTTCACAGAGCTGGGATACATAATCTAAGATGTAGTCACGTCGTGCTGAGAATCCTTGATAGTATCTCTCTCTCTTGTTGTGCAACATGACATATAACTGAATTTAAAACCTGTATAATGTAATAGAGATACTATTGTGCTGCACAGTCTGTACAGCGCAATACTTCAATTCCACAGAAAGAGAAAGTACTATCAGAGTTGCTGTTTTTAATGCACAGATCAGTGTCCCACCATGATGCTGCCGCTGGGGAGCTGGTGAATAAGATCAATTAAACCATTAAACAACACCATTATTCAGAGAGGAGACCTCTTTACGAGATTACAGTGCGACGGATTGTGTCACCTTGTGTGCATAACTAGTGACTACTGATGATAATTTTAATAATAATAATGATAGGGTAAAGACCTGTGTTAATCTGGTGAAATTGAGCCCTTACAAGGCACTACTAGCTAGTAGCACTACCAAGTAGTACTACTTGGTAGGACGCTTCTATATCTTCAAGTATAACGCGAGCTTGTAGTGGCGAAGCAGAGAGAGAGAGAGAGGGAGGGCATACAGCGGTGCTGTAGTGGCGAGGCAGAGAGAGAGAGAGAGAGAGAGAGAGAGAGAGGGAGGGCATACAGCGGTGCTGTCACCACGATAAGGTGATGACACTTGGTTTAACGTGAAAATATCACCTGTTAAATATTTGTACAGTGTGTGAGAACGTAAGGTGAAGAGACGAGCTTACAGGCACCTTCATTGTACCGTGTACGTGTCTTTAAACTTTAAAAGGAAGCTGGATATAATACGGACCGAAACGGTGAGACCGGATGTGTATGCTCTCCCCACACGACATCATCCCACAACAGTTGAACTTTGATAATGACTACTTTCTCTTCATGAAAATTCTCCCGTAATTGACCACTTTTAGTGTTAAAAACGAGAAAATGTTAGTCACGTGATATTGTGATTTATAAAGTACCTTTAAATCACAGGTAGTGTTGAGCAGAAGGTTGGAAGGTTTGAGGTCCCGGTGCAGAACGTTAGCACTGTGTATGTACTTCAGACCCCGCAGAATCTGATACAAGAAATAACACACGTGGTCATTACTCAGCGCTTGTCCCTGAAATTATGAATATTTAATTAATTGTGGTTATTATCTCTTGCCCTGGAATAATGAATATGTAATTAATTATGGCTATCATATCGCTGCACCCTAACAAAAGGTGATACGTCATAGACGTTACGAACGTACGTAGTTTGAACATGTATAATGTATTATATAATTGCTATCATTCAGGCTGATTGATCCCGGGGGACGTTCTTACTAATCAAACTGTTACCTTATTTATATAAACAGTTATTGTTAAGTATATGACGCGAACGGGTTATAATCTTAATCATACTGCATGCGAATGGGGGGTTCCGAGTCAATTAATAGGAAAAGAATTTGCAGCTATGGAACTTTAAATATAAGTTGTTTGATCTCAAAAATAAATTGTTGGATAAATAAAATACTTACGTTCAGTCTCTGAACTCTAAGGAGCTTGTACAAATCAGTTTCCATTTTACACTGGATAATGTATCTGTTTTTTTGGAGTTAAGGAAAATTCTTACATCTATGAATCAATCAACAATTTCGCTTTATCACAATTTGGTATAAAATATTATGACGTTTCATATTTGCAATCGTTAATATTTTAGCTGTTAATTTTTGCAGATTCAAAAAGGATACATGTCCTTCATAGCCTCCATCTTCTCTGCTCTAATGATATCCATTATGTTAATGATCTGAAATAAAATAAATTATTTTAAAAGGAATAAAGTGCTCAACATAACGTCACCTCCAATAACTCCACAGCCAACAACATAACCATCTTATTTCAGTTATATCCTTATAATTCGGCTTAACATTCAAGTGTTTCACTACGTAACATCTAAAATTAGTATTATAACTCTATAGTCTATGGGGGGGGGGGTCCAACTACATTTTTGTACACTAATTTAGCGTACATTTGGCAATGTACATTAATGGTCAAAAAAATGTACAAAAAATCGGAAATCCCTGGAAACGGAACAGGAAAAACAGGAAAAAACATATTTTGTACATTTTTGTACATTTTTGTACATGTACATTTGGCAAAAATCTGGTGGCCAAACAGGAAAAAACATATTTTGTAAATTTTTGTACATGTACATTTGGCAAAAATCTGGTGGCCAAACAGGAAAAAACTAGGCTAGCTCACTCAAAAAACATATTTTGTACATTTTTGTACATGTACATTTGGCAAAAATCTGGTGGCCATGTACAAAAATGTAGTTGGACCCCCCCCCCCCAGTCTATAACCGAAACCATGGTTTTTCATTTATATCCTTGAATCCTGGACCGCTTATAATTCTGCCGAACGTCATTACATCATAACTCTTGACACATCGTCTACAGCTGATAGTTAATAAATTCCATGACGGATTAATTTAAAGCAACTCACGACAATGAGACTTACATTTTCATGCTGAAATCGAGTGAGGATTCTTATTTCTCTTAAGGTTCTCTGACAATATGTCTGGTGTTCAAACGGGCTAATTTTCTTTATAGCAACTACTGAACCCATCTCACGGTCTTGCGCAGAGCTGAAATAATCAAAATATAGTATCACTAACAGATAGAAAACTTGCTGTAAAGAATGGTAAACATGTTGAAACATTTTCCTGGTTGCAAACAGAATATTTAACATTTCAGATCATAAATTTACAGTTACAGAGATTTCCAATCAAAATTCAATTAACAGTATCAAAACTACCAGGTTTAAAATATAAGCTTACTCACCAAACCATCCCATAAGCACCCTCTCCGATGTAGTTCAAGTCGTAGTAACGTGGACCAACATCAAATATCTGGCCTTTTACCTCAAAACTGTTGGCAGTTTGTGGCGTATCACACTGCGCCATCTCTACTGAGAGACGTTAGAAATTAAGCAAACAATAACTCAGATGACAGATCTGTATATAAAATCGTAATTGTTGATGTTGTTAGCTTCTTAAGGAGTAACAAGATTGAAATTTTAAATTGATCAAAGGTAAGATTACGAAATTCAATAAACATATTATATGATGATCATGGGATTGATAAACACGGTTATATTATCTATTTCAATCGTCCAAACATTACAACAGTCAATAGTTAAACAATCAAATTTATTTTAAAACAAGTATACTACCATTCCATTTTAAACCAAGATAATGAAATTATGGAAATAGGTAACACCTCAGATTATCTGTTCATGTCCCTAGCATATTACTTTACTTTACAGAAGAGATGCTGGCTTTTTGCATGGCTGACGCCTATTCATGCTTCTCATCTGTCACTGTGACCCCTGTCACTGTGGCCTCTGTCACTGTGACCCCTGTCACTGTGACCCCTGTCACTGTGACCTCTATCACTGTGACCTCTATCACTGTGACCTCGAGAAGATCCACGACCTCTGCCCCTGCTTCTGCCTCTGCCTCTACCACCTCTATCATCACGCCAACCTCTATTATATCCACCACGATACCCACCACGCCCTTTACGGTCAAAGTAATCATCTCGATCTCCTCGATCTCCTCGATCTCCTCTATCATAATCTCTGTCCCTGTCATCATAACTATCACGTCGGTAATCCTTGCCTCTTTTGTTTCTTGAATCGTACTCATCTCTTCGGTACTCCTTGTTATCATCTCCTCTCCTGTAACCGTTTCTATCCTGGTTTCTATCCTGGTCATGCTGATCATCTCCTCGCCGTCCTCTCCTGTCACTGCTACCCACTTCTCGTCTTTCCCGCTTGTCATGTTCTGAGGATGTGTTAACTGCCTCAGCAGTGGGTTCCTTCTTGTCTGCATCATTCCGGTCCCGTCTGTAACTCTGTCTTTCTTCATTGCGTTTGTTATCACTTTCATCATCTCTGCTTGCTTTGGATACATCACTCTTCTCCCGTGTTGAAGATGATAGGATGTATTTAGCTGGTTCGTCTGACTTCTTTTTGCCTGGAACATAAATTGCTTTTTCAGGTCTACCTCCTTTGGTATCTGATTTAGGATTGCGTTCAGGTTTTACATTATTTCTTGATCTGAATTCTGCTGCTCTATGCCTTTCACGATTGTCATAGCCTTGGCAGCCATCCTCTTCACTGTTACTACGTCCACGAGGCCGACCACCTTTGTGTCGGTGTATCTCACGGTCTTCAACCTTCGTGGGTCGTTCTTTCCGAACATACTGAGGTTTGCTATGAGGTGAGAGGGCCCGCTCTTCACGTCTAGTTTTTATATACTCCAATAATGCTGTGCTGCTCTGTCGTTCAGCCCTATCAGCTCTCTGCTTTTCAATTTCTTCTATGATTGTTTCAATGCTTGGGGGAGCCTCAGGTTCAATCTTCAATTCTTTTAAGAACTCCATGAACTCAGGGTCCTTATCAATAGTGCCTGATCTGACATCTTTTTTAAATCGCTTTGGTATCCTTTGAAAAGGTGCATATTCCACAATTCCTACAGACTGAATTTTGTTGCAGTCAATGAATTTTTGGCCATCAAATCTATCCTTGAACAAAAAAGCACTCTCAGGAGTAAGAAAGTTGAAGTAAGCCCGACATGAGAGATAAGGTGCCAGGGAGTAATCAGCCGGGGCAAAGTGGTAAAAGTCATGCTCAGGAAATGGAACCACAGTTGCAACCAATAGTTCAAGCAAACTTTCAGAATCAAATCCAGGAGGGATGTGTCTGAGGACTACTTTGGTTCTTTCTTTCGTACTTTTTTCAACTGCCATGACAACAGCCTAGGTGAGCAAAACGGTCAGTAAATATTATATAAGCAAGTAAATATGATAAATAATGTTAACAAATACCCAATGAATTTCTGTCACAGTTAAAATTCTGCACTGAAATTATGTAAATAATGTTCAGTTTTAGCCTACCAAGTTTCAAAACAATCCCATGAACACTCTGAGAAAAAGTTTGAAATTGATAATTTTGTGTGAAATGAAATGGGTAATTGTGAGTAATAAAATTACACATTATGTCCGTATGGATGTCCGTATCCAGAAGGCTAATGGCGCCTTTCATCAGCTCTGGAACATTTGGAATAGCAGAACTATAAAGACTCCAACCAAGATCAGGATCTATAGGGCTGCTGTCCTCACCAGTCACCATCTTGTTGTATGGAGCTGAAGTCTGGAACACCACCAAAAATCAGATGAAACGCTTGAACGAGGTTTTCCATCAGACCTCCTTGAGAGGGATCCTTAGGATTAAATGGTTCTTTCATGTGACCAACGAAGAAGTTCTTAGGAGGGCTGGAATCAAGTCAGTTGAGACTTTTATCAGTGCTGCCAGGCTACGTTGGTATGGACATGTAGTTAGAATGCCAGACTCTAGACTACCAAGGTTTCTCTTGAACTGGAAGCCAAATTATGGAAAGAGGTCAAGGGGTAGACCGTACCCCGTAAGAACTGGAAGACCTGCGTACTCGAAGATGCTGCTAAGTTTACAGGTGTTGAAAACATCGACAACAACACAACAGAAGAGACATATGTTACGCCGCCAACGCGATGTGTGTGATGCAGGCCACTCCAATGACTAGGAGGAGACCTTACCATGTAACATGTAACATGTATGTAATAGAATTACACATTATTATTGCAAACCTTTAAGAGGACGATTTTGTCTAAGACCTATATTTTTTGTTATTAACTAATAAATATCCCACTATTTAACAAATGATCATAAAATCAATTGCCATGATCCAGCCCCCATAAAACCAGAGTTTTTGTTTGATTGCTGTATAAGTTTTGTCTCGGTCATTATACCAATAAATAAAATCCACCTTCCTCATCAACCAATAAGAAGCGTTGGGAGGTGGTTATGAAGGATTAAACAACTATGACCTATTTATGTATGAACTCTGTAGCTGTTTGCTAAACTGTAGATCGAGAAATTAATGCTAAATATTGAAAATACTATCAAACTAAAAAGAATGTTCAAACACAAAGAAGGTAATTATTATTAAATCTAAAATAGCTAATAATAACAATAAAGAAAGTAAAAATTTACTATTTTCACATTTGTCATGGAGTTGTAGAGGGAGTTATGTGCCTCGCCGGGCTAAAGTAGTGGATGACCTTGCTGTACGGCAAGTTAAACAAGGATCTGAAACTACTAGGTTCCGTACAGACTCAACTCTGCACCCGTGTCAATATGTTCATTATATGCAAGCCTCTTGATTTATTATACTAGTTACACAATCTCACAAAGTCACAAATAGAACAATCAATTTATGAACAATAAATTAGACAATTCCAGTCATTTTAACTACAGGACATTTCATTTCAACTACAGGCCATTGACATAAACAAAATTTGCTGTACCACCTAAACTTCATGCACGGAACATAAATGGAACTACAGATTGCACATCCTTCACTTGGCTGATAATTTGGATTATAATAAAGGAGTTCATTGCCGTGCTTCAGACCAATATACGCCACAATGCATTATGAATATCTCCGGGATTTCGACGCGGGATCATATTATCACTCAGCCCGGCCCGCTGTTAGATAAACATCTCAAGGTAATATCATCCCGCCCCGGAAATTTGTACAAACCCGGCCCGCTTTTTAGTCGTAACTGATGTTTATCATTCAATTCTCCGACTTAAAATAATCAATGATACTGCTGATTAGAACTCGATAATAGTAGAACAGTTAGACGCGCGATCACGTGGGCGCGTCACGTGCGTACCACGTGCCACCAATAGCATACGCCGAGTCTATACCACGTGACACGAAAGCGCACCATGTGATATGAAACATCGTAACCGTCCACTTCTTTTACACGCAAATTCCTGGGAACGTTGCCAAAGCAGCTAATTCTTGGAATTTCTCCAACGCGTGGCGTGAGAAGTTGGCGACTAGCCAGCTACCATTGTCCGTGCCCTAAAAATAGTATTGTTTTGCTTGCTCTCCTTCCAGCTCTTGTTCCTGCTAACGTTCAAGCTATTGCTCCACTATGACAGATCGGTTTGACATTCAGAAATAAAAACTATTTTATCACTCTCTTCTAAAGTATAAATCCCTTGTCGAAATCGCCGGAGATAATTATAATCCATAAACACTTCACGCTCAGGGCTAAATAAATGTAATCCCTCAGCTGGCGCTTCGGGATTACATATTAACACAAAACTCGTGCGCTGCGCGCACTCGTATGTGTTTATCAGATCATCCTGCTAGCGCGGGATGATCTGTTATATAAACCCTTTGAGTGGCGGGTTTATGTTATTATAAAGAGTAGTAAAACAGACAGTCATCTTAATGAAATGTGTCAAGAACTAAGGGAGAAGGACTATGGAGAATTCGTATTACACAATCAGAACAAGTTCCCTTACACGAACCACCGCACAAAAATATCAAAAATATTATTTTAATCCATACATTAGTATTTTAAGAACTAATTTGAATGAAAACTCTGAACATTTTAAAATTCAATTACGATTTCAATCACGCCTGATACAACCAGAGTATAATAAGAAGAAATGACTCATTTAGCTCAAACAAATTAATGAGGACAACTATTTCTAGAGTGGCAGAAATTGTACGAATTACGACAGGAAGAGTAGACAAAAAAGGAACAAATCGTATTCCAGTTACTCATCCCTACTGTATTAGAAGTGAACGGCAATTGCTATTGCACAGTATTCATATCAGGCTAAATAAAATAATTGTGAGAATTTATTGAAATCAATTATCCGGCTGGCTTTTGAATTTTAATCTGTTCTCATGAACGTGAATATAGCAACTCTGTTACTCTAACAGCTTAAGTATAAAATATTAAAAAAATTATTCAAACAATATACACATAATATAGCAATGACCCTATATAAAATCTACCCTTTAAGAATTAAAAAAGTTTCCTAAACAATCAAAAATTAATAAAATTATTCAAACAATATACACATAATATAGCAATGACCCTATATAAAATCAACCCTTTAAGAATTCAGAAAAATTCCCTTAACAATTAAAAATTACCCTTGGCCTTGTGGCTCCAAGTTAAGATCTAGACTGTTTATATCAACAATATTTTTTCTCGCACCTCTGTCTCCACGGAGAGAAATCACTGTTGTCAACAATCAAAAATTACCCTTGGCCTAGTGGCTCCAAGTATAAAATATAATGGTTACATCGTAAGAAGCCGAATTTGATTTGAATATAAAACAAGGACCACAGACACTTATAGACAAACAATATTACTAATAGTATAATGGTATTACACTAAAAATGTTAAAACTGTACTGTAGCGCTCGATTTTAATAGTTTTTCGAAAGATGGCAAAATTACGCGCGGCACGCCTCAATTTTAACTATTATACACTGTAGTGTATACCGCTAAACGTAACAAATTTATTTCGCTGCACTGGGGAACAAAAAGAAGCAGAGAATGCATATTAAATATTTAAAATGCACATTATGAAAATAATCATTCCATTAAGCAATATCTGAAAAAAAAAAAATTTGACGAAATTAAATAATTTTTAATTTTATTAAAATAGGATAATGTTTTGATAAACGTTTTTAAAATATGGCATTTAATAAATAATTAATGATGATGGGGAAATATTTGTTATATAGTTTTTACATATATAGTGCGATGATATTTTGTAAACATCTGTGCGTGATGCATGTGATGTTATAAATTTTACCTTACTTTATTTTACTTCACTTACTATATATGCATTATCAGTAGTTTCAGATTTTTGTGTTTTTAATTTAATAACATGATCACAATATTACAACTAATTGTTGTAGGTTTATAACCTACCAGGACGCGCTCACCTAACCATGTCACATGTGCTTTCGCGCCGCTGATTGCGCGCTTGTTTTACAAGTCAAGAGGCGTGCGCGCGCTACTGCAAGCGCAAGGGCGATCTGGATAGAGCAAAGGACGCGCTCCGAGTTGGACAAATATTTTACGAGTATCAACCGTTAAACAGTTTCAAATAATTTGCAATTATTGTGTGGATATCACCTGTTACACAGGTGGTCCGTATTGCCCGATTTAAGTTATACAAAAGCCAGCGGAAGCTAGCTTATTAATTTAGCGGAGAATAGTGCATGATGATTAATCACTCTACACTCGACTGTCATGTTACTTTTTCAATTCGTTCTCTAGCTGGTCCTGAACGACTATTCGAAAACCGAACCCTCTAATTTGATTCCAACCCTAACCCTAACCCAACCCTTAGCAAAAGCATTTGCTGAAACCCTGAGCCTAACGATAAATTAAACTAAGTTCCTTAGCTTAAACGGTCACATTACGTGATCGAGACAGTTTATCGCCAATATCTCGTCAGGGGAGCATTTTACCCTTATATCATGTTATCATACGTTGTATGACCCGCCGCGCACGAAGTGCGCGGCTCCCCCTGTATCGTCGAAGACGATACAGTGTCGATACACTATAGTGAAGCGACAGTGGGGGTCACCGCGTGATACAAATATCATGGGGGTGATTCGGAATCAGCGTCCGAAAATACATCGATTGAAGTTGATTACAACTGTTGGGGATCCTTTTTTAGAGGAAAACAAATTTTTTAGGAAAACAAATTTAAATTTTGGTATTTATTAATATAAATCAAAACATATCATATCATAAAACATAAAAATTAGGCCGCGCGTTGGTTGACTGCCTCAGTAAGGTGAACAATTTAAGCTTGAAGGTGCCCTGCGCATTTACAGAACCTCATGCGGCGATCACATGATCATGAGGACCTGTGAGCGCCA